TTTTTTTTTGCTTGGGGCGGCCAAAAAGCCAGAGCCAGCCCTGAGTGGAGTAAAGTATGCTAAAAACATACTTCTTTCCATTAAGGGCACCCAAACACCGACAATAGGTTTTATATGAGGCCAGAATTTCAGCAGGGTCCCGGCTTGTGTTTTTCTGGGTAAAAATGGTGCCTGAACTTTTACACCCAGCCAAAACACTGTCCTTGCAATTCTGCGCCTGCAGACTGCAACCCACAGTGCTCCCATGAAGCCTGAGTGACTGGACCCTTTGCAGGTGAAGTGCAAATAGACTGAGGGGATAATTTTTAATAATGTCCTAGCGAAGCTGTAACTATTCTGCTGTAGAATACTGCTACTCAGCAGTGTTCCATCCAAAAGAGCAGTTATGTAATAGACTACACAGTAAGCAGGGAAGGTAGCATCAGAAGAGGCGTTCCCATGCTGCTGAAAAACGTTATGTAACGCCGGCTATTCACTTCCTTTACAAAGCATCAGACTTTACTTTCACACTAGCTGCTTAGCTGCTGTTTCTCACAATAAGAACCAATCTAAACTAAATGACACCCTCCATCCATTGGGCCTGATCCTTACTCAAACCTCTGCTGTTGAGTAAAAGAGGAGCTCTGGGTCAGTTAAATCCACAGGAGCGATCCACTGCAGCACCTGAGATGTTACACACATTCATTTTCACAAATTGCACAGGGGTCAAAGCTCTGCTCAAAATGGCAGCTACTGTACATCTAACCACTCTCTCATGATACAGCCCGTGACTAGTTTATGATGCTAGATGAGCTGGCCTGAGTTAGGGGCAGTGCATTGTGGTGCCCTTGGAGCAGTCCTGAAGGGAGAGACTCTCTGAGAGAGTTACAGTCTCTCTTCCAAGTTCCCTGCTTCTCTGGGGAGAGAGTAAATGGAGCTGGCTATACCTGGCATAGTGTAAGGCACATATGTCCAAGACGCTGTCCATTCCCCTCCCATTCTGCCTTCATCAGCCCATCTTCATCAATGAGGATGTAGCTGCTCTGCAGAACCTGTTTTCATTCCCGCACTTGCAAATGGCTAGCACAGGGGAGCTGCTTGTACCCCCTTGTGCCTCTGAGCTACTGCGCTAACAGGCTATACTTTGGCCCTATATGGCTAGCAACTAGAAAAGGCTGTAATAGCAGAGTTTCTTATATCTCAGGCAGAATTCACCTGCTGGGCTGCAGTCCATGGACTGAGGGGAGGAACAAATCTACAAAAAAACCCAGGCTCCTGCTGTGTTCCAACTCCTTTTTATAAATATACCCTTAGTATAAAGTGTGGCTAACTTATGAAAAATTATATAAAGCTGGGCAAATAGTTTCACTCCATTGGCTTCATGACTTATTATGTGTAGTTTGTTTTGTTGCTGCCCATCGGCATATCCTGAAACTTTAAACATCAGGCCCTATAAGGTATGTCTACACTGCAATTAAAAACCCATGGCTCACCCATGTCGGGCTCGGGCTAAGAGGCTATTTAACTGCCATGTAAATGGCAGCCTGAGCCCTGGGACCCCACGAGGGAGGAGGGGTCCTAGAGCTCTCCAAGCCCGAATGTCTACACGGCAATTAAACAACTCCTTAGCCAGAGCCATGTGAGCCCGAGTCAGCTGACGCAGGCCAACTGTAGGTGTTTAATTGCAGTGTAGACATACTGTTGGAGACAGCTAGCAGCCTCACCCTGTGACAGAGGATCCATTTCTCGGAAATCTTATTCTATACTTGGGTGGAAGATGGAACCTTTTGTTGCAACTATCATTTGCTTTACCAAGCCTAGACCTGTTCCCAGTCCTGCTATCAATCTCGCCCTCTTTTATAACTCCTGTGGCTTTTTTGACACAACCTTAATTTTATTTTTAGGTCATTTTCTCATCATGAGTCACAGCTGTGACTGTCATTTTACTACAGCGAAATGTGTCAGCAAAACCAAGAATAGTCGTTGTCTGTCGGACTTGCACCTAAAATGCTAATGAGGAAGATGCCGAACGCCGGAAGAAAAATGAACGGTAGCAAAATCAGAAAGCACAGTGAATGATACCTTTAAAATAGTACACTTATTTCCCCCCATTTTCCCCCCATTGCCTTTTGTTAAAGGGGCCCAATTTTGAAGACCCTGGGGCCAAACCCTGGTCTAGATCAGCATCGTTTTCCACTGAAGTCACTGGGGTAGATCCTGAGCGGGGGTAAATTGTCATAGCTCTCCCAACAGAGGATCTGCCCCTGAGATTTCAACCGGGCTCCTGGGAGCGAGGACAGTTTACTACAGCTGAAGATGATAAATGCCTCAGCAATTTCAATAGAGCTACACCAACTAAGCGTTTGTTCCTTAAGGCAGGATTCACAAAGGTATGTTGGCCCCTGACTCCCATTCACTTCAATCCCACCCTTGATTTTTGGCAAAACTGCCACTGAAGAAGCCTCTCTGAGTTCTTCCAACATGAAGCTTTCAGGATTGCACTCAAACTTATATTAAAAACCTTCTGCAAGCAATAAATTGTGAATAAACTGGACATCACAACATTTCTCAGAAAAATGCCCAGGTTTCTTGGTAAATCCTGGGATGTTTCAACTACATGGATTCAAGCAGATGGGTCCAGGATCATTTGGAGTTGAATGGGCTGGATAGAATTAGGTTAAGCATAAACAGTTGGGTGTGTCTACCATGCTGAACCACCGGATTCTGGGAGGTTTTGAAAGGTCATACAGGTTCACTATCAGACAGTAAAGGGAGTGCTAGATGAACCATTTCCACTAGTCCACAGTCACACTGGCTTTAAAATACTTCAGACCAAAACAGTGTAGACAAAACTAGTTCTTACCACTCTGCAAGAAAATCTGATTTTATCCATTTCCTTAGATTGCATGGCATTCTGTGGTGGCAAGCAGAAGAGGAACGAGTTGTGTCACCTTGTATCTTTGAATAAAAAACAGTAGAGATAGTCATGTTATAATTGTGATGCTCTTTGTTCCTGGAGGTGAAACAGTAGTAGCTCCCCCAAGAAATACAGTAGCCAGTGTGGGGCTAAATTCCCTCTAAATATCAGTGTAATGGAGACTGATCTAATTTGGTTCTCTGTTGTATAAACAGAAGGGACAGATTAAGTGGCTAATTCACAGTTTCCTACATTTAAGGCCAGAAGAGACCATTAGATTATCTAGACCAGTGGCTCTCAACCTTTCCTGACTATTTTACCCCTTTCAGGAATCTGATTTGTCTTGCATATCCCCAAGTTTCACCTAATTTAAAAACTACTTGCTTACAAAATCAGACATAAAAATACAAAATATCATAGCACATTATTACTGAAAAATGGCTTACTTTCTCATTTTATCATATAATTATAAAATAAATGAATTGAAATATAAATATTGTACTTACATTTCAGTGTATAGTATATAGAGCAGTATAAACAAGTCATTGTCTGTATGAAATTTTAGTTTGTACTTTGACTTTGCTGGTGCTTTTTACGTATCCTGTTGTAAAACAGGCAAATATCTACATGAGTTGATGTATCCCCTGGAAGCCCTCTGCGTACCCTCAGGGGTATGCATATCCCTGGTTGAGAACAACTGATCTAGACTGACCTCCTTAATAACTCAGGCCATAGAATTTCACCTAGTTCCCCTTGCCTTGAGCATAATAAATTGTGTTTGACTAAAGCATATCTCCCAGAAAGGCACCCAGGCTTCATTTGAAGATGTCAAGACATGGAGAATCTACCACATCCCTTGGTAGTTTATTCCACTGGTTAATAACCAGAGGCGACATGTCGGGGGAATGAGGGAAAGGCATGCAGAATCAAGTGCCCCCCACTCAGCAGTCAGCCCGGGAGGGGAGCAGAAGGGGCGGGGTCAGAGCCTCTTCCAGCTGCTGGGACACTGCCCAGTGCAGTGCAGCAGCTGCCTGAAAGGGTGCCCAGCTGTGGTGGTGGCAGGCTGCCTCCCGCCCAAGGTTGGCTTCCAGGGACAGCAAACGAGTGAGCCAGAGCCCCCCCTGCCACTCCGGCATGCTCAGCCCCTGCCCCCAGGAGCCAAGCCCGGGCAGGAAGCGGGCTGCCACTGCCGCCCCTCCCCAGCCAGACTCTCTCCCAAGCATCTGACTACGCTGCACAGAGCAGCGACCAGGAGCGGCTGCATCCCGCTATCCGCCTGGGCTTGGCTTCCGGGGACAGGGGCCAAGCATGCCGGGAGAGCAACCAAATGTGCCATGGGGCGGGGAAGCCGGTGCAGAGGGAGGACAGAGCCCCTCCCACCACAGGTAGTGTGTGGCAGGGAGAGCGCAGGGGCCTCAGGCTGGGGAGGAGACACATGTTTCTAGGAAACCTTTGGCGCATGGGGGCTAGAACCATGATGGCAGAGTCTGCCCCAAATCGGCTTGAGAGAGAAGAGTTTTGAGAGTGGAAATGGATCTGGTTTCCAAGGGTGTTGTGTGGTTCCTTCAAATGACTGGCAAGGTGTTCACAAAGGTTAAATCAGATTACATAAGAGTAGAACTGAAAGCATTGGAACCTCAGAGATTACTTCAGGACAAAAAACAAGCAAAACAAAAATCCTTGGGATTCAGTATGAAAAGAGTTAAACCAGACAACAAAACCTAACACTGTTTACAGGATTAACCTGACTTTTTTTTTAAATGAGTAGCGCTAGCGCTTGCACTCACAACCACCGTGGTCACTGGGTTGTACCACATGTCACTTAACAGCCAGTTCTGTGATCACAATCTCCTATTATTAGAAATGTAATAGTCATAGCTTGTTAAAAACTCATTTTAAAATCTGTTGCCACCTGGAAGACTAGACTAAACAGATCAACAGTATAGGCTATCTATGAATATTCTGAGCAGAAACATAATTAGGGCTGCAATTAAGATTATCATTTAGTAAGCAATGTAGACAAGTCTGAAAAGATAAGCCTCTATCAGTTGCTGTTGGGGTCTAAGTGATTATTAGGCTTATAAGTTTTGGGCCATGTGTTTTTTCTGGCAATGTGGAAAATATGTTGAACAGCTTTCAAAACTCAAGTAATGATTGCAGTTTATTTCCTCTAAAGACCATTAATAATGGAATGCTATCAGCACACAGCTTGTGTGCGTGGATGGTCATAGGCACAACAATGCAAAAGTGCAAGCTGGGCATATTCCGGTTAGTCTTTCTCAGCGCAGCCACATTAATATAGTGCTTTTCATCCCAAAAGGTTCACTCGCCACTCAACTGCGCCTGTCTCTGGAGCACAACACACCAGCTGTTTAACAGCACACAGAAGCTCTGTGTACTGAAGAATACTATCTGTGGTAAGAAGACACTGCGGGGCGATTGTAGGCAGGCAGAATGTAATTACCCAGATCAGAATTTTCTTAGGACACTCAGACTATCACCTTGACCATGATAAAACATGTCATGGGCTCTTTAATGACCTCAGGAGTTCAGGACCTCAGTTTTATGTGCCCTCTGCAATATCTGGGTGAAAGACACAGGCTATTCCCTGCTTTAACCATTCCCATGGCTGCCTTAAGGCAACAGTAGATGGCAGTCAATTCTGCAGCATCGGTTTCTTTATCTCTGCTTCTTCTGATAATCATCTCTGACAATGGGATGCCCTCAGGGCAATTCCCTGGACTGTTAGTCTTCCTTTAGAGTGGTGCTTCCCAATTTTTTCAGTCCCACCACCCACCCATCACAAATACACCCTATTGACCTGAAAGCTGTATTGGAACTCACCCAGTATTATAAATATACACAACAGTCATGGCCTGTATATCATGCGTCTCTGACTCACTCTGCTCAAGCAATGCACAGGGAGTGGAAACTGGCTGCAACTCACCAGCTTGGGATTTCACTACCATGGGGGAGTCCCTAGCAGGCATAGAGCCAGTAGAGCCTGCTCCAACGCACTTATCCCTCGTCGAGGAGCATGGCAAAAAGTGCACTGTGCCCCAGCTATCTCCAGCTGGCAGACAGCATCTTGGGGCTGCTTTCAGCTAGCAGGGTTTAGAACAGCCCCCAGGCTGCTCTAAATGCCACCATGACTGTGGCCAGAGATTCAAGAAGCTGTAACCAGTTCCCTAACAGCCCTTCTCTTTGCCTGTGCTGAATAAAACAACACAGAAGAGAATTTGAGAGAACAAGTTTTTCAAACGCTTGAGTTTATTTGGGTCAAAATCTCTAGGCATTTTCCTTCAAATAGCAGCCAGTAGCACCACCTGTTCTCGGGTTGCATGAGGGCCAGTATATTTTGCAATTCTATGAGATGCTAAGTAAGAAGCCTTCGTTTTGTTTCCAGAAACAGAAATAAGTTGAGTACGAACTTGCTTTCCTTTAAATAACTGATTTCCCCCCCCCATGAAATATTCAATTGGCCTGTATTTATCTTTGCTTTGTTTACTTTCCAAGTGTCTTTGCAGCTTTTATAGCTTCATGCTTTTATTAGCTCAAGCTTCTCCACAAAATACATGCTGAGGCTGGGGCCAGCCTCTTTTTCCATTTGTGTAAATCTATACTAGATATACACAGGACTGTATATTTTTGTGGGTAGTTTTTGCTTTTTAGCAATTGATTTATCTACTCTCGTGTTACATGTTTGGGAAGCCACAGGAACATACTCAGGCCTTCTCTGTGATTTACTTCCACTGTTTGTGAACAATCAGCTGTTTTTTGAACGTAAATCTACATTTTCAAGATAAGGAAAACATGACAGGTCTTTTTGTAGCACAACTCTTACTATTCAGGATATAATCACATAGCTGCATTTGTGACTAACACTGTTTGCAGTGTTGCTGTAGCTGTTTTGGTCCCAGGATCTGAGCAAGACAAGGTGGGTGAGGTCATAGCTTTTATTGGACCAACTTCTGTTGGTGAAAGACAAACGTTTGAGCTCCACAGACGTCTTCTTCAAGTCTATCTTCTCTGATTGGTTAGGGGACTTGTTCTCATTCTGCTGGATAATGATCTGCCCTATTTTATTCATGCTTTTGTCACTTCTCAGTTGGACTACAGCAATGCAATATATTTGGTAGTGAAGTTAAGCAAATCAGTGTTTGCTGAAGTGGGGCCTAATTACCATAAGCGTCAATTCCATGGGTGCTCCTCCCCCCTAGCAGCGCCTCCCCTTTCCCCCCAGCACCTCCCACCTGCCTTGGATCAGCTGTTCCGTGACGTGCAGGAGGCGCTGGCGGGGGGAGGGAGCGAGGGCAAGGCATGCTCAGGGGAGGAGGCAGAGTGGGAGCGGGAAGAGGTGGGTGGGGGTGGAGCAGGAGCGGGAAGAGACAGCGGGAGTGGGGCCTTGAAGGGGTGGAGTGGGGGCAGGGCTTGGGGTGGAGCTGGGGAGGAAGCATCCCCGGCACATTAGAAAGTCAGTGCCTATGCTAACTACCATTTCTTGAGTATCCCTTGTGTATCTTTCCCTTGCTTGAGCCATCAGAGCAGAAAGCCATCTTCAACTAGACCTGAGATGAAAGCTATGTAAATGACTGGTGGCTTGAATGGGGCTTTAAGTGAGTGGACGGGCCCATCTGTGTTCAGTTCATTGCAGGATCAGGGCCTTGGTGTTTCTGATCCAGTGACTAGATTACTTACTTTCTCTATGTATTTATATGGTCCACATCTTCATAGTATCTCAACACTTTCACCGGTTGTGCCTCATGTTCTTTAGGCAAACAATCTACAGTGTCTTTTCCTGACTGCATTTCTTGTAAAAGTAAATTCACCCCCTGATATTTTTCTTCCCTATTTTAAAGTAGCAAATCCCCCTAGAAAAATAGAGTAGTATTAAAATTATAGCAACAGCGGCATGTGTGCT